GGAGCACCAGACCCATGAACACTTACCATGTCCCTAATATTATATCAAAAAAAGTTTTTCAAAGTATGTCATATTGGGTCTCAAAAGAGGCGAAATTATATAAAAATTTTAAAAATAACAATTTTTTTATAAAAAAGTTATTATTTTAGAGTTTTTTGCAAAAAAATAACCTTTTTTAACCTAAAAATGAAAAAAGTGTTTTTTTTATAATTATTTTTAAAAATATTTTAATTAATAATTTTTTTATAAAATGATTGTTATTTTAAAAATTTTTATATAATTTTGCTTCTTTTGAGACCCAACATGACATACTTTTGAAAAAAAAAATTTTATATAATATTAGGGACCTGGTAAGTGCTCTCCCTAAATCTGATAAAAATTTGAAAAAATTTAATAAAGTTGCTTGTGAGAACCAATAGAAGGTTTTAAGAATATAAACAGATCTTTTTTAGAATATAGAGGGCAGATGTCACACCCTTATATATATATATATATATATATATATATATATATATATATATATATATATATATATATATATATATATATATATATATATATATATATATATATATATATATATATATATATATATATATATATATATATATATATATATATATATATATATATATATATATATATATATATATATATATATATATATATATAGTTATATTTTATTTAGATTAATAAAAACAACTGATTAGCGGGAATTAAAGTTTCATGTTATAGTTTACTAGTCCCCTGTGTCAAATAAAGATAATAAAAGTTTTTTTGAATGTCTTCACTGAGATGCAATTTGGTTTTTTTTATTCAGTAGGTTTTTTCCGTTATGTGATAAAGTTACATATTTTTTGTAGAGGCAAAGGTGGCATATTTTTGTTGCTAGATTGTAAGGTTTACAACGTTTGACAATTTTCCCTTCTATAATAGGTTTTATGTTTTGGTCTTTTAAGCTCCATATATCCTTAGATAGTTCTGTGTCATTTTTAAACTTAACTGATGCAAATGATTTGAGATCATTTGTGTATCTCAATTTAAATGGTGTATTACTAATGTCAAAATATACTTTTTTATTACAATCATGATGACTGGAACTTACGTGTTTAGTAGACAATATTGTTAGATAAACATTGATTGTTCAAAGGGCAAAATGCTTCATCAACGCAGAGTTACATTAGTTGGTTTTTAATTGATTTTTGTTGTGGGATATATATATATATATATATATATGTATATATATATATATATATATATCCTCGTAGTCGAAAGAGACTTTTAATGTAAAAAAAAGTCTCTTTTTGAACAATAATTTTGCTACCTTGACAGTTAAGCTACATTTTATTGTCGTCGAAAAGTTAAAACAATTAAATTGATGCGGAAGTACATTAAGTTTTATCATTTTTTAGAAAACTGCAATTAAAATGACTAGAAAGCTTTTTTTAATTAATAATGTTTTGATTTTGTTTTTTAAAAATATCTTTTTAAAACATGTGCAAAGTGTTGCTCTATCAACTATCTTATAGCCTGCTGTTAAAAGAGAGTGTTGCTACATCGACTATCTTATAGCCTGACTCGCAACAGAGTACTGCTACATTAATTGAGGGTTTGGTTAGAGCAGGCAGTCTATCATTAAAGAAAAAAAAAAATTTAAGTTTTTTAACTTTTTCTGGTCTGGTATTAGGGCTCTCTTTAAAACTCTTTATTAGGGCTCTCTTTAAAACAACAGTTTATGGATTTATATATATATATATATATATATATATATATATATATATATATATATATATATATATATATATATATATATATATATATATATATATATATATATATATATAAAATCAGTTTGATAGATCTTTAAAAAGTGTAAAGTTTGTGTTTTGAATCTGATACCCCAATAAACTGGCTGAGATTAGATACCATTGATTATTTATGGAAATGTAATTTCTAATAATTAATTTTCTGTTTATTTTAGCAAGTCTATTTTTTCTTCAGAACAATGGATTAAAGAACTTAAAAAACTTTAATTTTGCAAATACTACGCTATTTGTAAATATTGATTAAAAATTGTTTAAAGTATTTTAAAAATTGTTTAAAGTATTAATAACTACTAAAATTAAAATCATTAAAATATAGTTGATAAATGTTTAAAATACTTTAAACAGTTTTCTAGGGTTCGGGCTGTCTGCGCAGATCTGCGCAAATATGCGCAGACAGTGTAATTTGTCTGCGCAGATGTCTGCACTGACAAAATTTATAATAACTAAACCATCGTGTAGATACAGGCATGGACAATGAGAGAGAAATATTAGATGCAATTTGTCTATCATCAAACTTTGCTTTCACAATGTGATAATTTTTCACATATTTTATGATTTTCTCTGCATCTTTGACTGTTTTTGTGACCTCAGTTGTAGAAACTATGTCCTGTCCAGTTGTAGAAACTATGTACAAGCAAGTTGACTCCATGAGCTCCCTATCCACTAGCTGAGATGTGTAGATATTTCTCTTCAATGATCCTCCATGCTGATTTCAGAACAGAAGCATTGTCGCTTATTTAACTGGTAAATTTTTGTGAGCCAATCTTCTCAATAACTTGTAAGATTGCCGCGGCGACTGCAGATGAATTTTGAATGATTCCGGATGTATTTATCGAGGTGTAAAAAAAAGCTTTTGATAGGGCGTTTTTATACAAAAATTCACTATGTGATCGCCTCTTGTGTTAGTCCAGCTGTCAGACATCAGTGTTAAGTTTGTTTCAGAATTCAAAATTTCATTTACAGAAGTAGAACAGTTTGTGTATTGTTTGTTGAGAAGAGATCCTGATAAGGCTTTAGCATTCGGGATGACAGATGCTTACGATGGATTGAGCGACTTAACGAAATCCTTAAAGGCGTCCGATTCGACTAAACGAAATAATATACCCTTACGGTAAAAGAAATTAGCAACTTTGTGTCGATATCATTGTTGAGCTCTTCATTAATTAGTTTATATACACGCTGCGTCGGTGAATCAGAAGTAGACGGAAGTTGCTGAGAATCATTGATTAGATATGGCGATTCATAATTACGCTTAGAAAACAATCTTTTTTCCTCGACAATGGGGTTTAGACATGTTGATCTTTTATGCGCTGCAAGGCGTTCCTTCGACCATTGAACAGTGTTGTTACATGCTAAACAAGTGCAAGAACGCTTCTCTCGATCAAGATTTGTCAAATAATTCGAAATTTTGATGTTTTTCATTTTAAACATTTTGAATGACAAAAATACATGGTTTTTTGATTCTAAATCACTTTAAATTGTAGTAAGAAACACTTACAAAGGTTTACATTGATTGATTATATGTAGCTTTAACTAAAAAGAGACAGATAAGTAATGAAAAACTCGTATAAAGTAAATAATTATGCAAAAATTATTTCAGACACTTGATTCAGATAATTTAAATTTTTCATTTACGTTTAAGTGTCTGCGATTACGTCAGCACCGATGTCTGTGCAGATCTGTGCAGACAAATTATGCGCATATCTGCACAGATGGTGCTGACGTAATCGCAGACACTTAAACGTAAACAAAAAATTTAAATTATCTGAATCAAGTGTCTGAAATAATTTTTTAACGCAGACACATTTTCCGAACCCTACAGTTTTTAATAAATATTTACAAATAGGGAAGTATTTACAACATAAAAATTTGTTAAAATATTAAATAAAATAGCTTTTCTTAGCGTAACTAAATTATGTCCACCACTAAATAATGTATTCAAAGAAATGCCTTTTACAATGAGATGCTAGTTTTAATCAACTTTAAACTCAAAACTAAACCAGGTAAATACAAACAAAGTGATATTTGACAATAATTTTTGTGGCACTGGTTTTAACTGAGATAGGGAAGTGGTTACCCCCAAGAAAATCTTGAGGGTAATTACTCTTACTGTTTTTTTTAGGGGAGGGGGGAAGGGAGTGGTTACCCTACTTCCCTCCCCTTCCTCCCCTCTTCCTTTAATAAAAAACAGTATTCCCAAAAAAACTCTAGGTTCATCACTAATACCAAACACAAAAATCATTTAATTAGTATATAATATGTTGGCTTTAGTAAATATGTGCTGAAAGATTGGTATAATTCAAATTTTTTGTCCACAAACTTTTGGATGTTACTGTATATAGATTAAAATGCAATAGTGTGTAATATATATATACTCACTTAAGTCAAAACTCATTTTTAGCTGATCTATGTACTCATGAAACACAGTTGTCATATTTTTGTTGGCTCGTCTTAATCTGTGACTAATTAAAGCTTTATTTTCTGTTTATAGTAAAAGTTTACACAGAAGTTTCTAAGTTTATTGTAAATAGTTTTAATTTAATTTTATCTTAAATTTGTATCAACTTGATATTAAAATGATAAAACTTAACAAAAAAAAAAAAAAGTCCTGGTTATAAATACATTCCATTTAAAAAAAAGTTAACTGTTTGCTACAATCATTAAGATTATTAAAACAAGGAACTAAAACTTTCTTTACCATTCTGATTATAGCTCAGAAGTGTGAAAAATATTTTAACTGAGGTATGGCAAAGTCATAGTTCATTTTAGGTCAGTCAGAAATTAAACTCTAGTCACAAGATTGAATAAATAAAATAAATACTAAGCTACATTACACTATTCAAATTTTTTTGTTACATTTATAAATAAAAAACATAATTTTTATTTTTATTTTTTTATAATTGTTTGTTTATAAATTTTATTAAAATTCGCTTATCAATTTAATATTTAAGAGAGTACCTTAAATCATTTGATGATCATCATCATTATCATCATCATCATCATCATCATCATCATCATCATCATCATCATCATCATCATCATCATCATCATCATCATCATCGTCATCATCATCATCATCACTTTTCAACTTTGATAACTTTAGATGATAATGATAATAATAATGATAATAATGATGATGCTTTTTTAATAAAAATAGTTAAATTGTATGTTTAGGATCTTAGTGATGTAATTGATCATATAAATATGGCAAATATTGAACCAGTTAAAGGTCGTGATGAATCTATGTCTCAGATAGCAAAAATTTTAAATGCTCACATGGACTCTCTACAATGGCTAGATCAGAACACAAGCCAACTGCAACGAAGAGTTGATGAAGTGAATCAAGCCCTAGATACTCGAAAAAGAGAACATGAACGAACTTTTCGTTATGAATAAAAATAAACAAATTATTGTGCAAGGGGAGATTTTTTATTGGTTTGTAATGTGATCATTTGGTTTTAATTGGATAAGCTAATAAAAAGCCAGTAATTTAATCTCTTAAACAATACATTTGTATTTCAATATTCTTTTGTAAATAACTTATATTTTCTGTCTGAATAATGTTTTATACACTAAAATAAATAGCTTTCATAATGTCTTAAAGTTGCACATTGCAGCAATTTAAAGAACATCTTTAAGTTGCACATTGAGGCAAGAACATCTTAAATATTTAAATTAAGTTGCATCATTTGAGTTACTTTTGTGCCAACATCACATTATTTAAGTTTTGTTGTAATACTAACTTTAAAACATAATAAGAAAATACATGATATTTTCATATTAGAAAAGCAGTTTGTATCATAGCAACCATATTTTTTGATTCTTCTGTTTCATAATCAGATATTTCAGGTAATACGCATTATTTATTGATTATTGATAAAATTTAAATTCCATGTTTTTATTTTTTATTTTTCTATTTTTACAAGTTGTACTGTTTAACATGGCATGTAATTTCAGCAGCATTGTTGTTATTATTATTAATATTATTATTGATTTACATTATTATTGTTATTATCATTATTGTTATTGTTTCCATTTATAAAAAAGATAAGAAAGTTGAAAAATTAAAGAAACATCAGGCATATTTAATTCAGTTTCAACTGTATGATTTTTAATAAATAATACTTGTTAAAAGTTTATTAAGAAGTTTGGTTTTTATTTTTTTTAACAATTTTATTGATATCAAATTTTAACTTGTGATGTTTCTTTAATAAATTTTTAAAAATAAATTTTATAAAAAGGTGTTTTTTTTTAAATATATATCAGTATATACATATGCAAAATTTTTATTATTATTTATTCAAGTTTTCAGTTTTGTATTCATTAAGATGAAAATTGAGAAAATTGAAAGAGATACTTGTTCATATAAAAATGTCTCAGATAAGTTTTACTTTTCGAAGCAAAGAAAATTTGATTTGCAGTATTTTCAACTTTATACTGTTCGTCTATCTGCTATGAGGCAACGAATTATTGATGTTGCTAAAAAAAAATGGGGAAAAGATATTAAAATAATGGAGCTGTCAGATATAAAAGAAGGTGAAGATTGTGTTGTAGTTGGTATATTATTTCGCAAAATGGAGCTTCAACCAAGTATTCTTAAAGAAATAGCACAAGAGGTTAATTTATTATAAAAAAAGTATTATTAAATAGTGTAATGAATTAACTTAAAAAAAGTCTTTTATAATTTTACTAGTTTAACCACAAGTTAAGTAATTATTTAGGAGGGTCTTATGCCATTTTAGGAGGGTGTTATACCATTGCCACCACATGAAAAGTATACTTCAACAGACGACATACTTTATTTAGAAGCTCAGCAGCAGCGTATAGTATTGATAGGAGACATTGAGGTTTCTAGCTCAATCACAGGTCAGCTTATGAATTTTGATAAATTTGGATAAATATTAAGTGGAATTTTTAATTAAATTTTGTGTTTTTGAAATAAAAGTTATAAATTAGATCTATAATTTTTTAGAGGGTTCTTATAATAAGTAAACATATTCATAGTTTAAGTAAATGTTTAAAAAAAGAAAAATTTTAAGATATTATTTTAAGAAATCATAATGAAACTTGTCTACAAACTATTTAAATTTTTATGAAAAAATAATTTTTTTTATAACTGAAAAATGTTTAAAAGTTTATATCATATTATTATACTATTTCATGTTATATATTGGTTGAGATACTGTTAAATATTTAAGGCATAATTAAAAAAAAATTATATTTAAAAATAGCTGTGTTGATCGTTTTAAAGTTGCTTTTGTTAACGTATATTAAATCATTTTTGTTTTCATAGAATTTATTGCAGGTTTTGATTTCATAATTTTGTTAGTTATGTCATTTAGTTTGGATTTTGTATATCATTAATTAATTTTAAACAATACTTATAAATACTACATTTTCAATTAAAAGTTAATAAAAGTTTTTTTTATGGGTTTTTCAAAGCTGAGTGAAAACAATGATCTTTTGTGGATCACCTCAGAAACTACTGAAACTACAGACCTGAAACTACAGAAACTACTGAAACTACAGACCTGAAACTACAGAAACTACTGAAACTACAGACCTGAAACTACAGAAACTACTGAAACTACAGACCTGAAACTACAGAAACTACTGAAACTTATTGACCTGAAACTACAGAAACTACTGAAACTTATTGACCTGAAACTACAGAAACTACTGAAACTTATTGACCTGAAACTACAGAAACTACTGAAACTTATTGACCTGAAACTACAGAAACTACTGAAACTTATTGACCTGAAACTACAGAAACTACTGAAACTTATTGACCTGAAACTACAGAAACTACTGAAACTTATTGACCTGAAACTACAGAAACTACTGAAACTTATTGACCTGAAACTACAGAAACTACTGAAACTTATTGACCTGGCACATATGTGTGAGAAATGCAAGTTCTGAAAATTGTCAAAGTTAGTTTTATACTTCAATTTTTAAGGTAGTAAATCAAAGGAAACAAAAATGTGTGCAAAAGTTGATGTTTTTGTTATCAATATTTTATGTAAAATATACCTCTAAGTACCAATGTTGCTGAAAAAGATCTTAGTGTAGTATTTAGCTCTGACTTGAATCAATGGAAAAATGGAAAAACCAAATTACTCTATGTGCAAGTAAAACTTTGTATCCAAGTATAACTTTGAATATGTTAAAGAATATATTTCTAGGTTTCTAGAAATATATTCTCTATAAAGAATATATTTCTAGTGAATTATTAAAAACTATATAAAAATTTTTTATAGACTGTTAATTGAATCTCTGTGGTCTCCATGTATTAAAATTAAAATAGATATTTTAGAAAAGGCTCAGCATGGTGTTACTAGATTAATATCGCTACTATTAAAGCTGTGTTAGGATTTTAAATAATATAACTATGTTGAATAATGGTATACAGTACTGTAAACATGTTTTAGACCACTTACATTTTTTCAAAAAATCCTGGAGAATTTTTCTCTGATAGTAAAGTTTGTATTTGTAAACTAATTAAAACACATGCATTTCACTCAAAATATGGAACAATAACAAACTTTTTAATGTCAAACTTAAAAAGTTTGTTATTGTTATCATAAACAACTCTTAATATCTACAGCCGATGTTCTCCGGGCAATAGATTCATACAAATTAGTTATAAAATTCTGGGGTATGTTGTGCCATTCTCTTTAAAGTACTTCAGTCTTCTCTTTAAAGTACTTCAATACGCTTGATTATATTATATATATAACTCTGGGGTTACCAGGTCATCAATTCCAGTACTCCTTCCTCTGCCATTTTATTTAAATAATTTTTTGCCAATCAGGAACAATGTTTTGGGTCTATGTCCTGCTGCAGAATAAAATTATGACCTGTTAGTCTCATTCTGGATGGTACAGCATGGTGCCTTAGGATATCCACATATTCCTGGTTAGTATTCCCTCTACTTTGATCAAATCACCTATACTAGATGAAGATAAACTGCCCCAAACTTGTAAAAAAACCTCCTCTGTGTTTAATAGTAGGGCCTAAACACTCAGGCTGATAGGCTTCTCTAATTCTTCTTAGAACATATTGGCATCTTTTTGTTCAAAAAATTTCAAATTGCAACACACCCTCTTAATCCTGATTTTAGTAGGTGGCATCAAATACAAGAAGTTTATTTTTTATTTAGATGAACGCTTAGTCTGTAATCATTATGTCACTTATTATTTTAATAAATAAACAAACAAATTCCTTATGTTCCATCATCAATTTTTGTTTATTTATTCAAAATAGTATATTCTTTCAACCTTTCTTATATATTATTCAACTTAAGTATGCTATAAAAAAAAATGAAAAAAATCAAGTAAATTATCAATATAAACAAGTAATTCTTTGTTCTTCTTTGTAAAACTCAGAATTATAAGACAATTGTATTGAATATAAACTATTTTGTTATAAAATGAAACATAAATAAAAAAATAAGAAAGTTTAAAAAATATTTATAATTCCCTCTTTATAACCCTTATTGTTACAAAAATAAAAGAAATATTTTGCACATTTTATACAAGTACTGACCACTTGAAACAAAATACTGCTGAGTTTTCTCTATTCTTCAATTTTTTAGATTGAGTGTAATAAGGGTGATTCTTTTGGATTTTAAAAATGTTTTGTTAATTTGAGGCAAACTATTGTCTAAATATTTTTTTCTTTTTTTGCATAAAAAGTTGTCAACAGCTTGTTGACAAGTTGTGTAACAGCAATTGTTATTAACTTTTTCCATATTCAGTAGACTCTAATATGCAGTTCAATCTTTTGAAACAAGTTTATAAGACAAGAATTTAAAACTCAAGAAGGTTTAACTTAAAAGAAGCTCAAAGTTCAATACTTGAATTGAGATTTTTTGATATAAGACTGTTAACATAAATTGCTTTTTTTGGGGGGTTAATTTTCTTCTGTATCAAGGTGTTTGAAAGGTAGTGTTTTTATGCAATTTTTTCAAACTCTTTGGCAACTTAAAGACTAATAGCTCTAAGAAATTCTATAAAAGAAAAGATAACAATTACTAAATATTGTTTATCACTAATGTTTTGAGTTGAAATCTCAACTTTTTACTTGTTTTGCATCCTTGTTTGAAGAATAAAAACAATATCTTAAATGTTTGAAGAATAAAAACGATAGTTATGATGTTCATTTTAGGTTGGATTCAGGAATAAGATTTATTTGCGATGTTAAATAATGATTGTCTGCCACTTAATTAAATACATTAGTTTTCAGTAAAACTATTTTATCTAACGATGATGCATTATAAAAATTAGTCTATATCTGTAAGTTTACATATGTTCTCTGGAAATCTATTTTTTTGGTTTTTTACTAAAGGGCTCTAGAATCTACAACTTGTTCTTATAATCACCATTCTCATGTCTGTCTCCTACTGGAAAACTCTGGTCAACTGTATAGAATCGTTGCGTTGCAGAAGCAAATATTGTTTTTGTTTATGTTTTACCTTTATTATTTTACCAAAATATAATTTTTTATGTAAATATATTTCTTATTTGCTAGTATTTTCATACTAGTTGATTCTTCTTTAAAATATTATTCTTCCATTACAAGCCATGCATTCACAAGATCAGCACTTGGAATTAAAACCTAAAAGTGTTGGTGATTTTTTGATAACCTTATTTCTATGTTATGGTGAAATCCTTGTGTTAAAATTTGGTGCTGACCTGATGCAGACTAAAAACACTTTAAGTTTACTGATGCAGGTTAGGTTTGCAGTTTATTGCTGTTCTTATTTTTCTAATTCTAAAGTCTGCAATTTTGTTAATTTTTTTTAAAAAACATTTCAATAACCTTAAAAAAATATCTAAAAGTTTGGTTTAAAATCATTTTGCAATTGCACTATAGTTTCTGAGACTCAATTTTTTGGCATAAATTAATTACTTCAATTTAAACACAAAATAACGAATGATTTATATTTCTTAAGATAGATAACATGTTCTAAATGTGTTATAATTAACTTTTATATGAATAAAATATTATATGATTAATATATTATATGATTAATATATATATATATATATATATATATATATATATATATATATATATATATATATATATATATATATATATACATATATATATATATATATATATATATATATATATATATATATATATATATATATATATATATATATATATATATATATATATATATATATATATATTAATCATATAAACATATTAATAATTTGTATTAAATGCGGTATGCGGTAGTGGTAAGAGCCCCACTCTTGGTGGGAGTCGAACTCTGAACCTCTCGCTTTGTAAGCGAGAGGTTCAGAGTTCGACTCCCACCATGTCCCTGGAAGTACCGCGCTCAACTTAATTTCTCCGCACAGCGGTCTTGCTTGTCAAGGTTCTTGTTTCGGAGTTAAAGAGTTGAGAGAGGGTTGTAAAACGATTTACAAAAAAAAGCTTTCTTGACTGTAGTGGCCCCCTCGGGCCTTGGGGAGGTGAATAATTAATATATATATATATATATATATATATATATATATATATATATATATATATATATATATATATATATATATATATATATATATATATATACACATATTTAATATATTCATATACATTCAATATATAGATATGTTTAGTATATAGTTATATTTTATTTATATCTATTGTAAAGAAATATTATTAAATAATTTCATGTTCAAAAAATCATTTAAATTTCAACTATATTTCGCTATCCAATTTAATAAAATATAAATAGTTAATAGAAATTAAATCCTCATCAGAAGTTTCATTTTCGTTTTTGTCATCGTTGTCACTACTTCCTTTGCTTTTGTTATCATGATATTGCGAGGTATTGGATGGCA